AGGGTCAGAATTAGCAACACGCAATGCTGCAACTCCGCTTGCTGCCGACAGAGGCGCTCGAGAGCAGAGCGATCATTCCTGGCGCTTTGAGGACATTTTGTCATAGATGATTTTATTTATATAACACTCCTGACAGTTATACAGTAAACTGATCATGTTAACATCATAACAAATCCGACACAGTTTAATATATGCTATGTGTTTTGTGTGTATTTGCGGTGGTGAATTGCATTATCATGTGCTGCTCTGTCCATTTTTAATATTGAAAATTTTACTCTACAGTTTAGCAAAGTGATTTTATTGACATTTTAGAAGTTTGAGATTATTTAAGAGATAATATCTAGAGAAATATGTCTGTAAAATAACAAAAAATGTGCTGCAGTTTATTACAAGGTTTCTGATGCGTAATCTACAACACCAACACACACAATAGCACTGCACACTACCACACATGATAATGAAAGTCACTTTTTTAGTAGTTGTTGGAAGAAAGATCAGGATCCCATAATGCAAATCAGAAGCAAAAAACAAACAGGAAAAATAAAGACATGAAGCACAGAATATGGAAAACTGCTGATTTATGGATACTGTATGTTTTGCAGTGAAGGATTACTCATTCAGTTTCACTCATACTCATATAGGCTCGTAGCTAGAGGGGGGTTCGGGTGGTTTGAAAGACCCACCGCCCACTAATAAGAGGTCCAGAATTTGTCCCATACATGAGCTCATTTGTCTTATTTTGACTGCTATGCAATCATAAATTGTGAAGGCATCAAAAAAAGGCTTCCAATAAATGCGAATAATTATAGTCCAACGCCCAGTCCAAAAAAAACATCGAATCTGACGTAAGTGAAGTCATGTTTACTACAGTAACTTTTATTTTTGAATCTCCTTATTCTTGAAAGAAAAAAAAATTACGATTTAAAGCACCAAAAGCAGCATATTAAATATAATATTATTATATTAAATGTTATTTTTTATATCAATTAGGCTGTTTTTATTATTCATGAACTTACAAAATTGACTTTTTTTTGCAAAAAAGATTAGAAAATTCAAGAAGCTCTATGTTTATAATATTAATGTTTGATTTTTTATTATGCAGATGGCCAAATTCAGACTGAGCACAGTTGAATGTGCTGGCCTGTTGGTTATTTGGCCAATTAATGACATCAGGCTGCAGTTTTTTCATTCATTCATTCATTTTCTTTTCGGCTTAGTCCCTTTATTAATCTGGAGTCACCACCGCGGAATGAACCACCACCTTATCCAGCACATGTTTTACGCAGTGGATGCCGTTCCAGCTGCAACCCGTCACTGGGAAACACCCATACACACTCATTCACACTCATACACTATAGACAATTTAGCCTACCTAGTTCCCCTATGGCGCATGTGTTTGGACTGTGGGGGAAACCAGAGCACCCGGAGGAAACCCACGCCAACACGGGGAGAACATGCAAACTCCACACAGAAACACCAACTGACCCAGCTGAGACTCAAAAAAGGGACCTTCTAGCTGTGAGGTGAATGTCCAACCCACCACGCCACCGCACTGCCTAAAGCGGAATAATAATTATGATAAATATAATTATAGTAATTTGTATGTATTTGCTTTGAACTCTTTTATATGCAAGCAGAAAATCACCATTACTGTCTGTTGTGTTTGTTTTATTTAATAATAATTAATAAATACATCTACACAGTACACTGGCGCTGTTATGGTTTTGTGAGTTTGTAAATCTTTTATGAATTTTTTCATAAATCTGGATTACATCATTTGCATTTGGATTGGGTGTTATTTTATCTGATGATGAATGGTTATGAAAATAATAAGGTGTACAGGGTTTAGAGCTGAAACACGGACTGCATTCAAAATACGTTTACAAAGTGTTTCACTTCATGGTGTGATAAAAACATTAGACTGCAGTATTATCGTGTAATATTTAAATATGGCTTTAATTGTAGATGGAAATGAAAACATTCTTCAAGAACAGAAATAGATCAGTTCTGTCATGTAAAAACTGCAGTCTCTGTGTGAACCTCATAAACAGAGCTGTGATTCCTTCATTATCACCAACACAAAGGTGTAAACGACACACACATTAACACACACGGTCTCACTCACACACACACACACACACACACACACACACACACACACACAGTGTTGACAGCCAGTATTGTGAAGCTGAGATTTGTTTTGATCATTTCCTCATAATAATGAAGTCACTGTATTCTTCCATCTTTATTTTGAGCCACAGACATTAAACAATACGGCTCTCACTGCTGCTCAAAACACTGGCACACAAACCCTAAACCAGCCATCAGTTCACAGGTTCAGACGCGAGTTTACAGAGTCAAAACAGCGATTCTGTGTGGAACTATTATCTGATGGGCCCAAAACACAACTGTCCAGCAGAACACAAACACACACACTTACACACACTTCACACACACAGAGGATTAAGACATGAGATGAGTGTAATTCAACAGGATGAACTAACGCATGCAGACATATAAACACCTCATTGAGTACATGACACTAGTAGTCCTGACCTCTAAATCAACATCAGGCTGACGTCAATGTCCAACGTCCAACTTAAAATCAACCAAATATTAACGTCTAATGATGTTACAGCTTGACGTTGTGTGGACGTTACCAATATGACATCTATCAGATGCTGGATTTTGGTTGCCATTCCTGATGAATAAATGTCAGTTCAAGAGTTCACACATAGCTGATGACTGATTATAAGCAAGGTTGGCATTCTGTCCCCGGAGAGAGCCCTGAGCTCAAAAGATCCTTAAGCCCTGGGCTCCCTCCCATTTGCAGGGCGAGAGGGGAGCCATGAGCTCAGGTAGATCTCGACAACTCCCTCTTGATAAGAGCTGATGACTAAAAATTGAATGCTATGAAGAGGTGTGCTGCAGGATGAGGGATTGACTGGGCTAAATTTAGATTGATCAATTCACTTGTGCATGTTTTTGGAATGTGTGAGGAAACCGGAGAACCCAGAGGAAACCCACGCGAACACGGGAAGAACATGCAAACTACGCACAGAAACGACCGCCGGCCTGTTAAAGGACTAGAACCGGTGACGTTCTTGCTGTGAGGCAACAGTGCTAATTACTGGGCAACCATGCGCCCTATGGAGGGAAAGGTGGAGAGGTAGGGGTGGAAGGGGGATTCTTCAAATCGGAGATGACTATCGTGAGAAACCCTGGCTCTTTATAGTGGGTTAACTTAGGAATGGCCTGATTGGTGAGTCATACATGCTAATGCAGAACCAGCCGTGTTCAATCATAATCACGTGCTCCTCTCGAAATTAGTTTATGAATAAACTTCACATGTGACATCAATATGACTCTGGTTTAAGATGTTGGCTCAATGTTGGATCTTGGTCACTTTCTAACAACATAAAATCAACCAAATGTTGTTTTTGGACATCAAAATATCGCCATCCTTAGATGCTGGCCAGCCATTAAGTTTTGGTCACTTGATGTCTTGACCTAAATCTAACCTTGTATTAGCGTCTAATGACATTGTGTGCCGGCTGGAATGTTACTAAACCTGTTACTGTTTTATTTTACCATTTATATTCATGTAAAACAAGTGAAGTCAGTTTTAAAAATCTGTTATTGTAGTAAGGCACTTAGTTCACAACAGCTATGAAATGCTACACACCGTTTACCAGCTCAAGACACTGTAAAATCATAGATGACCTGATCTGACCTGAAGGTGGCGCTGTCGTCTTTCATTCTGAGGGAATCTCCAACCAGTGTTTGGCTTTCTGCAGAAAACAGCCTGCATCTGATTAAAGCTCACCTGTGTGTGTGTGTGTGTGTGTGTGTGTGTGTGTGTGTGTGTGTGTGTGTGTGTGTGTGTGTGTGTGTGTGTGTGTGTTAGACCTCATTAGAGTCTGTCGTGTCATTAACAGGCACATAAAACCTGAATTAAACACCGGCGTTGACTAAATAAACTAGGAATTCCTCTCAGTGCCAGATGGAAGATTCCAGAATTAGAGCATCCCAAATCTTACAAGCTTCACTGCAACCTGGACTTTCCAGAATGACCATGAAGCCACAGCAATGTATGGAAATATGAGGCATCTTTATGATGTAATAATCTACTTTAACAAGTGATGTTAGAAGTGATTGATTTATAGAAACACGCTGAATTGAAAGTGAATCTTTAACGTCTGCATTTTCTTGTAAATTCTTTGAGGAATTTACAGTGTACGTCCCAATATTTCCATACTCCATTCCTGTCCAGATTTATGGGAATTTAATGCTCAGTTCTAATTAA